CCACAATAGGCCTGTAACAGATCCCACACATATACATACACACTTTGTGATGAGATTTAGAAAGGAGCTGGTTTTTTGTTGTTCAGCTTTGGTCTGTGGGCAGAAAGTTGTTTCATCAAATGTGTCAACATTGTCTGAGTACATTCTGAAACTCCGCCGTCCTAAGCTGGTAGCAGCCTATCTGTAGCTGAATGATAAGACTGTATCGGCTATAAATAAAACAGCATCTTCACACACACATACAGATGGATATAATGAAACCGCAACGAAAGATCTCGCTTTACCAAATATAGAGCCCACTCAGAAATGATGCATTCTAGGTTTTAAATTCTCTCTGAAATTTGACATTCAGCTTCCAGTTATCTCTGCAATAGATGTTGGTGGCGGCTCGCTTGATTATTTTGTATTTGCTATCCCGGCAGCTGATTATGTATGAGAATCAGGAATATTAGTGTTAGCGATGATCCCACTGCTAGCTTGATAGTGCTGGGACATGATGCAAAATCAAGGTAAAAGGAAAGAAAGGGGGGAAGTGCTCTTAAAACAGTCTGAAGGCCTGTCTAAGATCATATGATGAAGGGCAGTATATAAATCTAACAAATAAATCTAATGAATAAATGAATAAAATTCATCAAGTGTTGGCTGTGCAGAGGATCAGCACATGCAGTTAAAAGCAAAAGGACCCCTGGATGGTGAAGTCAAAGGCGACTATGGGGGTGTGGCGCTCATCTCACTCTCAGGCTGAGGGAGCCAGGTGTTTGTCCACAGACAGCTTTCCGGGTCATGTGGCCAGCATGACTAAACTGCTTCTGGCACAATGGGACACCATGAAAAGTGCCAGAGCGCATGGAAACGCAGTTTACCTTCCCGCCTCAGTTGTACCTATTTATCTACTTGCGCTGGTGTGCTTTCAAACTGCTAGGTTGGCAGATCAGCACATGCAATGCTGCCAACAACTGATGCCACACGCTGACGTTGGCTTCTTACACACCACACTGCCACAAACTGCCATAAAGCAGTAGTTGTGTGTGGGCGGTGGGGCAAGGATGCCCTCTGAAACACCAGCATTACCACTGTTTACATTGGCAGGGCTGGGATTGGGAAGCGGTGAGGTTGGGGCTGCATGGTCGGGTCAGGCTGGCGATCATGGTCCCACCAGTGAGAACACATTACCCCCTGCCCCTGTCAGGTAAGCAGCAGTGATGCTGATGTCAGGAGGGTGGCCTAGCCCCACCCACACAAACCACCCATGTCCTAAAAGAATATTAGCATTGAAAACACATCACATAGAAGCAGCATGGGCAGGGCCAGGACTGCATATCAGAGGATGCGGCTGCCGCCTCTGAGCGTCAACTGCAGTAACCCCGTCATCTTACCTGCAGTAAGGACAAGCTGCCACAGACTCTATTATTCTAAATCTATTTTTGTATCCCACACATAGTAATGCAAGCTTGGGGCCAGAAAAATGAGGGGTGGTTCAACCATTCATTGTGAACTGTACACTGAGTTTCTTATTGCAATCACAGAATGACATTGGGTATTTGATTCACATGGGCCTAATTATTTTAGGAATTAAATGCAGAGATATGTTTCCCTTTCTGGCAACATTACGTCAAAGTAGCACAAGGTTGGTGGCAGTGAAGGATATTGACAGAGAATATATTAAAGTGTTGAGTAGGCTGTCTGCAATTTGTTATTTATGCATGGGGATATCATTTCTTATGAGGAAAAACTAAAACCTCCGTGGCAAAGTAAGATGTCAAAGTCCTTCCATATTGGTTATGGACACAGTTGTTGAAACACAAACTATGAAGAGATGATGACTTGGTAGTATCCCTAATATCACAAGAGTGCTTAAATCTCGAAACAGAACGTGAAAAGCTGTGCAACCTATTTGCAAAGTAGGAAGCTAAGAGAGAGGTGTTCAGTGAAGGTTAAATGATTTTGGACCTGGTAGATATAATTCCAAACACAGGGAAACTGTACCCCATTTAGCTTGGCAGGTCTGGCAGCCTGTTCACACCATTTCGGTCTCCACTACAGATGGCTGACTCAACTGCTTTTCTCCTACAGTACATCATATTTCTCCCAGCATGCTGCCAAATTGTCCACCAAATTTGTAAACAGTCTCTCATTAGGCAGTGGGCACCCCCTCAGTTTCCCACTGAAATACACACAGGCACAAACTTGCCAGTATGAAATAGCCAAATGTAATAGCAGAAACCACAGCACACATTAGTTCATAATGCAAAATGACCTACAGTACACGGGTTGGCAAATGAGGACAGATAAGTAGGTTAAGTGCTCTCTTGGCTAAATACTGGGTATGTATCTTGGCTCAAGGAACACTTCTAACACCATTGTGGCAGAGCGCAAATAATCAGCCTTCATAACAAAAGAAGGTTGATCTAGCATTTTAGCCTTCAGGAGATACCACATGACCCCCAATACCAAATGTTAAGAGAACACAAGAAAAAAGCAGTTTAACGAAACACTTTAAAAGCAGCAGCTTCACCTGTCCAGCACTCTGAGCGGCTTTGTGGTCCTTGTTCAGAACGATGTTTATGGTTTCACCTTCATGTTCCTTCGTACGGAACAACAGATTTACTGAAACACAAAAATCTTCAGTAACTCAACACATTTGAGGCCTTTCAGCCCTTATTCGGGGAAATCATCTTGGTGATGAAATCCAGAGATTAAGTACATATGCATTTCAAAAAGCCCAACAGTAAAACTGAATAATTATATACAATTGTAAAAAAACAAACAAAAAAAACCTGTCTTCTGGATTGACAAAGGCTTAAAAATAACTATATCTATATCCTGGACTTTTTTCCAGCCGGAGTTCAGCTTCAGCACCTCTCAGGTGGGCTCCATTTCCGTTCTAAGAAAACAAGGAGTAAGTTCATTGTGAGCTCCACAACCTCATTTTCTAGAAAAATAGTACTGTCTAGATCTGTATTGATTTCGATTTCTATATTGATATCAATGGACATCTATGTATAAACACACATGCATATGTGTACACAAAACACACCGTTGAAAGTGCCTTAAAGGTTAGAGAACCTGTAGTCCTAGCTTAGTACCTTATTTTATGTAAGCTGCAAGGAAAGAGGAAATGGAGGCAGGGGGGGCAGCTATAAGACAGATGGGATAGCAGAAAGAGGCAGTAAAGGGGTCTTTACTTTTGTCTTCATCCCCCCTTTTGATTCAGGACCTTTACTATATTGGTGTGTGACACCCCCCCAAAAAAAACCCCCAAAAGTACCCCGAGGTACTTGCAAACCACAACAAAAAAGGCCTAAAAATGGTTAACAAACACCACAGTGTTCCAACAGAAAGAGCATATGGCGACCTATCACTACTAATGTTTGCTGTACATGGGAGCTTACAATGCCACATAGGGCTGAATAAGTTAACCTCTATCTATGTCTGAGAAGATACTCTACCACTGAGGTATGACTCCACAATGGACCTTCACAAGTCACTCAAAATTCAGCAAGAGTTTTCCCTCACAGGAACAGAACCTGCTCAGCTACAGGAAAGTGCACAACTATACTTGGGATGAAGAATCATTCTAACATCTTGCCCAGCTCCCAAACAAAACAAGGTCATACAGTACAAGTGAATTATTGTTTTTGGTTACACATTTCAATCTTACGGCTTAGTTAATTGACTTCGGCAGTTGTCAAGCCACCTTTCTTCCCCTGCTCCTTAAACTGAGATGGCAGTCTTGAAGACGGAGTGTGTGGGTGTGGGGGAAACCAATCATTTGATGAACTTAATCTAAGTGCCAACCACAGAATAAATGTCCCCTCTAGACCTTTCATCGCATTGGAGCGTTCAAAATTGTTGTAGAATGAGCAAAGCAAAGTCGAAAAAATACTTTCCAGATAAGAGACAGTAGCTTCCTATATGCATGGTGCACTGGAAAAGAAAATACTCAGTGGCTTAATTCAACTGAAATGGCAACAATACCAAGCCATGGTTTGGCAACCAAGGGTGCTCCATGGGATCACCCATTCACACACCTCCCTTCTGCTCAGACACATGTTGCGTTCCTCCCTCCTTTTATGATTCATGACAACACAAATTCAGTAAACTATGGTTAGCAGCAGAGAGCGTTCCCCAATATTCAGCATATGGGTTGGAGAAGCTGTGCAACACTGGAGGCAGGGCCAGCAGCGTAGCCTTGCCACTCCTTGTATCCATGTGACAAATCCATGAATGAGGTCCAAGAATTAACTGCCTTAGCAACACTAGGAATTGATAAAACTGTCAATGTTGGTTTCTCTCAGTTTCTCATTTCCTTAGTCTCACATTCAGTTCTCCCCATTTCCCCATTATTAATATCATGCTGACTTTTTAAAAGAAATAGGGGGGAATTGTGTGCATTTCACCTAAGATACAAAAATTTGCACGCCATTTCCTGTCGTATAATGCATTTTCTAGCGTCATTTTCATAATATAAGTATGGGGGGGGCATTTCCCCCTAATATGTGCTTTGTAAGAGCATGTTCAGTTGGAAAACTAAGTCACATAAATTTTGAAGGATAGCTGTGTTTCAGTTTTCATGTTGGTTTGGGATGTGTGAATTGCGTAGGTTCACATTAAAATGTGAACCAAACAAATTTCTCCTCAACAGGTGGCTAAACCTGCAGCAGGTAGACTGGGGGCCGCCAGTTCACCTGTTCAGTTGATGCTACTTTGACATAGGAAAGGACTTATGAAAGCAGGGGCATTGTGCCAAACAATGCCAACCCACTCACAATACAAAGACTCACTCACTCTTATGCTTTATTTCTGTTCACAGGGAGAAAATACGGTTGTTTAAAACTCCATGCTAATTACATCCGCCTTTCTCAAGCTGGTATCTTTGCTAGTTTTGCAGGATGATGGCGGGTGGGAGAGTCACAAACTATACAATTGCTTGAAAGCACTTCAGTATCATTATCCTTGCCCTCTTCTTTTTCAGTATTCTTCTCACATTTACATTTTATGTCTTGTCTCAACTTGTGAATTCTGGTGCATATGTATTTGTTTATTGTGCATGGTACTGTAAACCAATGTATTGTTTTCAGAATATTTGTAGCATCTCTTTCAAGGGATCAACTAATTAACTCATTAAAATTAATAACAGCATTTCAATTCAGGGTGATATTCTAGGTATAGTAATGGAAATAGTAATTCCCTCTGCTCACATAGTACATAAAGAGCTCAGTCCTATGCATGTTTACTTGGAAACAAGTCCCATTGAGCTCACTTTTGCTAACAAGTTTGAATTAGCACATTCACACTTTGAAATAATTAGTCAGTTATTAATCATTACCATGGAAAGAATAGATTTGCTATCAATGAAATCAAGACCATTCATGAATGTGGCCTCATATTATGCACGGCATGCCTTCAGAGAAGCCTCCAGATAGTCTCATTGTGCAGCTGTGTGCACTTCCTCACTGCAGGGGCAAGAAATGGCCTTGGCACAACAATGCCCCTTTACTTATTATTGCTTTACATAAATCTCCCAGCATAGAGGCTTGTATTGAAGGTGCAGCCAAGCTGGTGAACTTCAACCCAGATCCTCGGAGCCTGCCCTACCATTAGGCAGAGTGAGGTAGCTGCCTCAGGCAGCCGATTTGGGGCATAATGAAAGGGCAGCACATTGTTCATTATTTAATTATTGTTGTGTTATTAACAATACAATTAGACAGAAAGAGACATGCAAGGTAGTTTTTGCCGAAATAATTTGGCCAGGCTTTGTTACCATGAACCTGTCCTGTTCTGCCCCAAGCACCAAATGTAGGGGGCCACCTGTGTAGATACTGTCTTTAATCATACAGACTTTCTTACTGGAGAGACAATGTGCCCACTTGGAGGCGGAGCTAGCTGTGTACCCGGGGGCATGGCGAGCATGGGGGCGCCACCCACGGTGATGTCACACACCCCCGGGGATGACACCCCGCACCCCCCTTCCTCCACCAGTGTGCCCACTCACTTTCTACCATTGTTATTATCACAGTATTAACCAGCATCAAATTTAGGGTTCGTTCTTTCTTTCAACATTTCCCTCTTCTAACCTTACACAGGACAGATCATAAAGTTGGAGGGGAACCAGGTAGGTACTGCTGACTTTTCAAGGCCCAATCCTGTAGGTAGAGGAAGTGGAAGCTGTCTTTGCAAGAGTCTGTTTGGCTGCCTGTTGCTCCCAGCTCCACACAGCAGAAATGGCCCAGGACAAGTGACTTTTCATCACGTTAGTAGAACCTTGTTCTTTGTAGCATTACAGAATGGTTATTACATCCATTGAAAAGAAGCTGAAAAGAACTAGGATTGTATCCCACCCCGCTTTTACCCACTTCAAGCACTAAGAAAGCCCTGTTGAACAGTAGCGACCTTAATTCTAAAGCAGGGCTTATTTTGCAGCGGGAACTCACCGGAACTCAATTCTGTCACCTCACAAGTGGGCACTATTGCCATTCTAAGAAAATGATGGTGGCATTGATGGTGAGTTCCAGCATCTCTTCTTTCTAGAAAAATAGCACTGACTCTTAATAAATATGCATAGAGTTGTTCTGCATGTCTGAGGTATGAATCTAATTTAATGATCTCAAAAAGGGAGGAGTCTTTCACTGTTAACAAGTAATAAACATGTTGAAATCATAAATGCGCTGCCATCATCTGGCCTTGGGCCTTATCTTCAATTCCGGCACATATCTCCCAACACTTCCATGTTTGTTTGTTTTTAAGCACCTTCAAAAGCTTGAATCTGGACCAAAGCACAAAACCGTCCACAGAAGAAGGTTTCAGAGTGTTCTGGTTGCAGTTCCTTAATGAAATAATAAAAAAAAGAGCCTATCTTTTTCCAAAGAACCAATTTGAACCAGTGGTTTGATCATTCCCAGTCAGGATTCGGTGAGCGTCAGTTATCACTAGCAGCACTGTGAAAAAAGATCTCTGCCTCAATTCGACAGCTCCTGTTCTGCACAAATGTTATGGATCCAAGATGCACACACAGCTCTGTGGGTGTCAAGAGGGGCTGGCAGTTCAGAAACATGCAATCTAATTGTTCAGATCACACTGCTCAGCCATGAAGGTCAGTAGGTGGCTTGGAGGAAATCACATTCTCTCAGCCTAAGCAAATCCATAGGATGAAATGCGACAAAGAATGCACCTGCAAAGTACAAATGAGACAAACAGACAGGAGTCACCCAATCTGGGGTACTATTCAACTGAGTTTTAGTCAGAATCGACCTGTTTGTCCATTTCAATGGGTCTACTCTGAGTAAAACCTAGTTGACTACCACCCATGGGGAGGAATTCGACACGGCACTAAGTTAAAGTCCCTTAGTGGTGTACTATTTGCACTAGCAGAATGGTTTGCAAAAGGGAAGGGCAGGAATCCAGCAAGGTTCTCCCTCCCCCCCCCTTAGATGATATTTATTAAAATTTCAGAGAAAAAAAAATTACACAAAAACAAAAAGTAAAAATACAAGAAAAATACAAAATACAAACTACAGAATAAAAGAATAAAAGACACTTTAAAAGAAAAAAAAAGAATAATAGATCAATCTTTCCATAGCTTACATTCATATCCTTGTTTCCCTGACCTCCTCATACCTCCCTTTTTTTGTATTCCAGTTCAATTAGTTAAGTCAGCAATTTCTTTCCCTCTTTGTTTTCTCATGATCCTTTATTAATATACTATAACTTTAAATTTTCATCTGTTATCAATCCTTTTTTACATACACCTTTATAGCATTACTGCTTAAACCACCTAGCTTCATTCCAACATCATTCTAACATTCATTAATTTTGCAATATTTCTGTAAATAGTCTTTAAATTTCTTCCAATCTTCTTCCACCGACTCTTCTCCCTGGTCTCGGATTCTGCCAGTCATTTCCGCCAATTCCATGTAGTCCATCACCTTCATCTGCCATTCTTCCAGAGTGGGTAGGTCTTGTGTCTTCCAATACTTTGCAATAAGTATTCTTGCTGCTGTTGTGGCATACATAAAGAAAGTTCTGGAATCCAGCAAGGTTCTCACGGCTGGATCTGCAACAGATTACTGTAGCCTTGATGCTTCCAGTTGCACAACTAGCTGCATGACAAGCTTCCGCTAGTGCAACTGATGTGTTGAATTCCATGTTGTCCATCCATTATTCCTGACCGCACGCTAGTGCATCAGCCCTTGCGCTGGTGGCCAGAGAGAGTACTGAATCCAGGCCTTTGTCTCCAGTGACTTGTCCAAGGTCATACCTGTTCAAGAGCAGAGGAGGGAAAGAACTAAAATCTGGATGCAACTTGGTGAGACTCCCCTAATTCCAGACTGATGCTCAGAATGTCTATTATGCCTCCTACCTTGAATGAGAGGAAGATAATGGAAATACTTTGCCTTTGTTTGTTTTGTGTGTGTGTGTTCTCCCCCCACCCCATGTATTCGAGTTTATCGCTTTGTTATATCATCCCGCTTGGCATCTATATGGTACGGGAGGCAGCCTGAATATTAAGCATCCTGCTTCATCTGACTCATTCAGTCCTAACACAGGTTAATCCCTGTATCATAGGCTGCCACCAGTTTCCTAAGCAGCTTAAAAGGACATGTTATAACTTCGACAGTGACCCGCTAATGGTTTTACATTTCTCAGAAGTATTATGAGCTGTCTTTGTCACTTTTATCTTCTAATGAGATCAATAAATTTAGGGAGCAGACATCGCTGGTGCAAAATGCAATGCCTCAGTCAAGGACATGGTGTATAATGGCTATACTATAAATAATAATCTGGGAACTATCATCAGACCTTGACTCCCCCCCTCCCATCAGTGAGCAACACTGACGCAGGCCCCCTGGAGGAACCAAATCTGCTTGTGCATTAGGAAAACAAGGTAGCCTGTGATTTTTTTCCCCCTTTCAGATCACACTGTGCCCCTCTTAATGAAAACTCTCACACTGGAAAACAGGTTCTGAGCATCGCCTTTTCCTTCTGTAGGCTATTATAAGTATGGGGGGGAATGTATTCTTCCCCATTTTATCATTGACAGATCTTGTTGGGTTTAAATGTGAAAAGAAAGCATTTAATAAAGGTCCAACTACACAGGAGGATAGCAGACCTGCATTTCCCCCCAATGTGGACCTTCTCCATTTACATGTAAAAGTGGTGGGTTTATCATTTAGCTTTTATCTAAATGATAAAAACTATGAATCCTAAAAGAAGAAGAAGAAGAGTTTGGATTTGATATCCCGCCTTTCACTCCCCTTCAGGAGTCTCAAAGCGGCTAACATTCTCCTTTCCCTTCCTACCCCACAACAAACACTCTGTGAGGTGAGTGGGGCTGAGAGACATCAAAGAAGTGTGACTAGCCCAAGGTCACCCAGCAGCTGCATGTGGAGGAGTGGAGACGCGAACCCAGTTCCCCAGATTACGAGGCTACCACTCTTAACCACTACACCACACTGGCTCTCAGAGCTGCTCCTGGCCCTGCAGGTCTTTCTCCACCTGGCCTAGAAGGGCAGGGCCCTCTGACTGACTCCAGCTACAAAAAGCTAAGGCTGCTGAACAGATAATTGGGTTAATTAAATCCCTAAATCCTAGCCCTCTAACTTTGGTCATACCAAGTTAAATCAGGGCTAAATGCTCACAGACTGACCATTTAATTATTTCTTCTAGGACCTTTTGTGGTATTGACATCAAGCTCACCTGGGTCTTCTTTCCTCCCCCACCCCTCCTGCTTTTAAAGATGGGGACAACATTTGCCTTCTTCTAATCTGCAGGGACCTCACCTGTTCTCCCAAGAATTCTCAAAAATTATAATCAGAGGCTCTGAGATTACACGTGCAAACTCCTTGGTGCTTTGGTTTAGTGCTATGCATGAACTGAGCCATTGGGAATAAATATGCCTGTGATCCTAGCATGGAATCGTAAGATGACCTATGCAGGTTAAAGATCAAAGCCAATGTTCACATTTGGACGAACGCTGTTTTCCAAACTATCAAAAACTACCAACGGAGCCGGGAGGGAGGGGTGGAAATCACAGGCCTCTCTGGATGGTCCATAATGCATTAATTTTGCTCATCACAAAAGAGGCGCCAAGGAAATGGCACTGAAGCCCACAAAGAGCCTCTCTCTCCACAAGGCACAAGACTGGTATGTGCAGCAGCTGCTTCAAGGCGGCAGCATTTATGAAAACGAGATGTTATGAATATTGCACAAATCAAACCATCCTCATATTCCAAGTTCAAGCCACAGGAAGGTTCAGTGGACTCTTGACATATGGAAGGGGAAGAGGAAGCCCTGAGGTCTCCAGAGCCAATAAAGCAAATATGCATGACAAAGGAAAACCTCTGAAAGGCTACCATCAGAATGGCAGCATGCATGCACATGTGCCCAAGTCTAAAATAAAATAATAACATTTCTGTTCTTGTCATATATTTTCTTGGTGGAGGGAATGGTATGGCATAGATACTAAAAGTGATACAGACCTTTGGCTGCATGTGCTATTGATGTCTAATCATGGCCGGGGGAGAGAACAGGCAAATTGACATAATATACAGATCCAGACAGAATCAGGTATTCACCCGCTAACCCTCCAAAGTGTTCAGAATTTGGATTAATGAATACAATGTTCTCCCAGATGTTCCTTCAATGGGCCAGAGTGGGAAGGAAAACTGGCTGCAGACCAAATCAAATTTTTATATTCCTCTAAGATAGTGCCAGACACTAAGATTTCATCAATGTAACATCTGAGGCACAGAGACAATGCACCATGGTTGGCTAACCCCCCCATATTCAATCCATTTTGCTGAAGACAGGACAAATAAACTCAGAATCAGAGCATTCAACGACTCATATCAAAAGGTATAAATTGAAAGTCAAAACTTGTACTGCCTATAATCTTGCCAAAGAAGAATTTATAGCTGAAAATTTTCCTATGTAGAGAAGTGCTGCTGTTTGCTGATAGGCTCCAAATGCTAGCTTTAAACATTTCAAGCCCTTTCAAGTCGAGAGTTTTGCTCTCTTTGCAATATCTGCTGCGTGCACACACCCTTCTAAAGAGTGAGAAAAAGAGGAAAGTTGGAAGAGAAATGAATGACTAAAAATGGCTACTTTATATCCCTGAGTATGCTGTTTTAGTTTTACTAAATGACTGGGGGGTGGGGGTGTAGGCGTGGGGGTGTAGGCCGTAGTTTAGCCATTTAAAGAAAAGATAATAATCATGAAATAAGTCCCAGTGGAAAAAAACAATTAGGGAAAGGTTGAATGCCTACAGTTTTTTCAGCCAAGGTGTTCTGTGCAAATGAGTTGTTTGTCAGCGATATCTATAATGACCACCACCACCCTCCTAGAAAAGAGATATCCATTCATTGTCTAATATAAATCCAGCAGTATGTTATGCTTCATGTCGAGGTAAACTATTCATGTGAGCCCAAAACCTTTTGTTTCCTAAACAGCAGCTTGCCAGGCATGCGCCAAACAACTTTTGAAATGGAGGCTTCAGAAACAAGTTGGGATAGACACCAGAGTAATGCTCAGAAATAGCTGTTAAAAGGGAAAAAAAGTCAAACATTTCACTGGTCTTCGGCAAACCTTATGCATAGGACTAAGCAGCACTTCGGACCCTAGCCAGGTGATGTATTTTAATATTGTTGCAGATGTGCTCAAAATATAATATGTCGTTTCCATTGGCACCAACAGAAAGGGTTAATCTTCTTCCTTCATATTGTGGTCCTGATCCTAATCAGGGAGCCCAGCAGCTGCTATTTACAGCAATGAAAAATGCACTCCTTATTAAGCCACTGTTTAACCTATGTGCGGCTTGACTCTCAGACTCCAATGCAATGCAGTGTACTGAAGGAGTAAGTTTCATGGAATACAGTTATATTGTTCTTTTTCTCTGTTGCTGCTTTTGATTGTAAGCCTCTTTGAACGTGCCTTCACTCAGACAGGGTGTCTTTAAAAAATTGTTTAAATAATAATTCAATTGGACTTACTTCAGAATAAACATGTATAGGATTTATATACCAACCCTCTAATTACAAAATGTCCAGCAGCATGCAAGAGCATTGGCCCATAATGAAAAAACGTGATCTTGACTGTACTTAAACTAATTAAAATTGAAGATTAATGCCCATCCACTTTATAAATCAATTTGTAATCATTAATATTTTGACAATGAAGGACATTGGCTGCAAGAAACTGCAGAGCTGTTCCAATAAGGTATATAAGAGCAAAGTAATTAGAATTGTATTAATTCATAAGGGAAAAGAGCCTTAGCTCTCAGTTTACTACTGCAGTCCACTTTTTGCACACAAAGGAAGTCTTCACGGTATTTCAGTGTAGAAATGGGATGAAAATAGCCAAGTGAGTACTCACCATGTTCACATTACAATCACACCTGCCAGAATAGACTGGTGGTGGGCATAATAGACTGGTGGCCTGGGAATTTGGGTGTATGCCCCGCCCTTGAAGGAGTCACAGTCCATCTGAAGGAGGACTGTAGTCTAGAACTCCACTTGAATTACATGCCAGCATTGATCCAGCTGGATGCCATAAAGACTGCCTATTACTAGTTCTTGCTGCTTTTCCTGGAATGAGACAGCCTTGCCACCGTGATGCTCAAAACCTCATGTCTAGACTACTGTAAGCTACCTCAAGGCGCATCTCTGCCTGTAGTCAGATAACACCAACTTGGGGGGTGGGATCTGCACTGGCTAGCCAACGTTACTGTGCCTGACTGAAAATACCAATATTAGCCTTTAATGACCTGAGACCCTGCCACCTGTCAGAGTGTTCCTCCCATATCAACCGGACTTCTGATTGTTCTGCTGTTGGGTATAGGTCTTGCACAGTGACACAAGGTAGGACCTCTGTTGTAGCAGCCTACCTATGGAACTCTCTGTCCACCTGGAGATGTGATGGTGAACGGTGTGATGACACATTTGTTTTCTCAGGCCTTTGGGTGAACTTAATTGGTTATTTCAGGCTTGAGGTTTTATTTATGCTGAGTTGTACTGCACTCTTTTTTGTGGATGATTATTTTTATTTGTTTTTACCTAGTATAATGTTTTTATAATATGTTGTACACAGCCCTGCAATCTCTTGCACAATGAAGACATTTCATAAATAAGTGAATCAAAATTATACCATTGGGCACCTGAAATTTCCATCCCTTGTCAGCTGTCATGGGTAGGAGCTTTCGTTATGGGATCCTGAGGTTTGCGGGTGATGTTCAAGAGGTCCAAACAGTTCATGGATGCTCTTTGAAGAACACTGAGCTCTACCAGAATAATACTGTTGGAATGTAGCATCATATATCTGCAACAAATAACTGAAGATAGGTAACTGAAAACTAAAAGGCCTTGCATTGCTTGAGTGAGCGTGTGGTGTCATTGTGAGACAAATGCATAACAAAGCTTTGATCAACAATACAAGGTGCCATATGAAACCATCTAAGAGAAGGACTGGAGGAGACTCTTGAGAGTCCCATGGACTGAAAGAAGATCAAACCTCTCCATTCTTAAGGAAATTAGCCCTGAGTGCTCACTGGAAGGACAGATCCTGAAGCTGAGGCTTCAATACTTTGGCCACCTCAAGAGAAGACAAGACTCCCTGGAAAAGATGCTGATGTTGGGAAAGATTGAGGGCACAAGGAGAAGCGGACGACAGAGGACGACATGGTTGAATAGTGTTCTCGAAGCTACCAGCATGAGTTTGACCAAACTCTGGGAGGCAGTGGAAGACAGGGGTGCCTGGCATGCTCTGGTTGATGGGGTCACGAAGAGTCGGACACGACTAAACAACAAAAGAAGGACTCAAACAGAAGAAAGATGACTGACAGATGTGAATATTATCAAAGGCCAGTCTTACATATTCAACGACAGCCCTACAGATTTTGGCTAATCAAATGTACTGCCCCGTTGGCTCAGTGTACCTTGTAACTAATTGCATTCATGAGGAAACATTGGGGCCTGTCGTTTATTCTGTGGTGAGACTTGCATCTCACTCAACTAATAGCATTTTACTGCTCCTAAGAATGTACTCATGCTCATAACAGTTTTAGTGAGAGTAGAAGATTAACAAAAGAGGAATTTATAGTGGGGCTTAGTAATCGTTAGGAAAAATCAATCTCTTTAATGATAGGAGGTGTTGCTCAATGTACATGTTCTAAGTCCCTTCAATGCAACTGATAACAAGTTTCTGGGTGTGGGAAAATGCTGGGAGGAGGACACCGGGTTTTTCTGTTTCACTGGGAATGCAGAAGTCCCAAAATACGGACCACAAACACTAGCAAGCGACCAGGGCATTAATTAAATTACATTTGGGGATATGGGGAGGAAAGAAAATTGAAAAATAGCAATCTGGCGATCTGCTTTGACGAAGTGCACAGACTGTAGAACAGAAACAAATTTTGGCAAGGGAAGCAAACCAAGCAAAATCTCCTTAGTTGGAATTTCAAGTTCAGCATTCATTTCATTTTTAGCATTTCCCATTCAGAGTGCTGGGGATCTGGGGATTTAAGAGGGTGGTGCAGGTTTAAAAGCATGTAATTAATATTTTAATTTTTTTAATGTCTTTAGCAGGAATTTAAATTTAATGTCTAAGTTACGTATCTCTGAGTGTCACACTTTGTAAACAAATGTTAGAAATTCTGATTCATAAATTCTGGTTTTTAATTTTGAAATGGCAAGAAATGTCAGTTTCCAATCCATTTACCTGGTGGGAAATGCAAAGAATCCTAGAAACTGCAGGTTCCTTATGCTGATGGGAATTGTAGCCCTCTGTTTCCAGGATTCTTTGGGTGCTGCTTTAAGTGCAAGGTGTGTGTGAGTCTAGACTTGAACCCAGGACTTGAACTCTAAATTCAACCTGCCGAATTTAGGGTGAGAGTTACTTGATTTATGGAACACACACACACACACACACACACACACACACACATATGTTGGGCTTCCCTAAACTGCCTTTGGGACTCTTGCAGCTGAGAAGGAGGGGGAAAGTCCATGGATCATTCCTTTGGCTTGGAGAGAGACCTTGGTGGAGCAGCTACATTGACAAGGGAAGGAGAAGTTCCAAAACTGGCTTTACAGCAACATGGAAAGGGGATTAAACAGAAGAAGAATGGGAAAATTCCCTTACAGATCTTCAACCCTCCTCAGAAGAAATAACAAGCCCCAAGCTGTTCCATGAGCCTGGCAGCTTCCTTCCTGCATTTCTTCCCTGTCCCCAAAGGGGCAGAGCTGACCTTGTTTGGAGGAGGACAGTGGGATAAATTGGCTGGATTTTACACTTTTTTAGTGTGACGACCATACCCTCCAACATTTCTCCAATGAAAATAGGGAGGTGCTAAGGAAAAAGCAGGACATTCTGGGATCAAATCAGAAACCAGGTTGGCTTCTGTAAATTTACAACTGTCCCTGGAAAACAGGGACATTTGGAGGGTCTGTGACTCTTCTCTCAGATCAAGGGCCATCTAGCCCAGCCAACAATTAGGGATGACAAAAGGTGTTTATTTTTCAGTCTGCAAATTGAAAAAATCTGTGTTCCCAAATCTTGCATGCATCTCTTACCCCGTGGCTGTAAAAAGGCAGCTTGGGAAGGGCAATTTTGAACTGGTTACACAATTTATCTCTGGCGGTCTGCCCAAGCTAATGTCAGCTTTTTAAAATGTGGCGTAGGGGAAAAAATGGACAGAATTCAGTGTAATATGCACTTTGAGCCCAAGATACTGGTATAACACAGAGCTCTTCATTCCAATCCTGTAAATATATTACACTGCTATTTGGGGTTGCCAGATTATTATTTTTTTCTTCTTCCTCTAGCAAACCTCTTGTAAATGCTCAGAAATTCAACAAGTGAGGCATATTAAATCCCTGCATCTCCATGTTCACAAAAGTGCTTCAGAAAGCTTTACGTTGTTTTTATTTGTTTTTTCATATCATGCAGCAGTTAAAGTGCGCAGGACGATGCCAGAAATAAAAAGGCATTCCTGCTGCTTTTCAAGAAATTATGTTTTCATCGAGTTTTAAACAAATCTCTTGGAATGTCTCCTCCTATTTACCAAATACTTGTCTCTATCCTCATTTTTTTCACTGCTGGCCATTGGAAGATTTCAGAATGCGCTATGTGGAGAGGCAGTCTATTCTGGCCACCGTCCTGTGCAAGGCTTGTGTTAATATTCCCTGAGGTAAATATTTTCACATAGAAAGAACAAATTTATTTAAAGATACTCTTGAGATAGCACAAGGGCTTTAATGTAAGCATTGTGTCTGTCAGGCACTCGTGTCCAAAGGTTCGAAAACACCCAGAGCGGAAACTAGACAGAAGATACGCTGACAGGGTAAGGAATGGTCTGGCCATCTCCATCCGTGAAAGGTTACTTAGGGTATGTTCACTTACGCTTCACGTGAACTCACATGTCGAGTATAGTATTTTTGTGTTCACATAATGTTCTCAGAATGCATGCACACCCTGTTTCTTATGGGGTGGGAAATGGTTGAAGCTTTCTTTCTTTCTTGTCAAACTGGCTTCGCAGACATTAGAACCTACATGTTGATGCAGATTTGTCTTAACTTGGGCATGTTGATCGGAAGGTCGGCAGTTTGACTCCGTGCGACGGGATGAGCTCCCGTTGCTCTGTCCCAGCTCCTGTGGCATCAGTTGTTGGCAGCATTGCATGTGCTGATCTGCCAACCTAGCAGTTCGAAAGCACACCAGTGCTAGTAGATAAATAGGTACCACTGAGGCGGGAAGGTAAATGGCATTTCTGTGCGCTCTGGCTTCCGTCATGGTGTCCCATTGCGCCAGAAGCGGTTTAGTCACACTGGCCACATGACCTGGAAAGCTGTCTGTGGAAAAACGCCAGCTCCCTTGACCTGAAAAGTGAGCTGAGCGCCATACCCCACAGTCGCCTTTGACTGGACTTAATCGTCCAGGGGTCCTTTACCTTTTACCTTACATGCAACAACACTAACAGGAAAGAAATGCAGACCCTCCAAGTTTCCCTATTTTCCAGGGACAGTCCCAGGTTTACAGAAGCCTTCTCCTGGAATGTTCCGCTTTTGCTTAGAATGGCCCTATTTTCATGAAAGGAATGTTGGGAGTGTATGGAGTTATGTGACCCACGCACCCCCAGGCAAGGATAAGTAACTATACAACCTTTAGAAGACATCTGAAGGCAGCCCCGTACAGGGAAGTATTTTTAAAAAGTTTAATGTTTTATTATGTTTTTATATCTGTTGGAAGCTGCCCAGAGTGTCTGGGGCAACTCAGTCAGATGGGTCGGATATAAATAATACATTTATTATTATTACTACTACTACTATCATTATTATTGAATAGGACATCCTGATTAAAAATGTAAGAAACAGGAAACCAGCTAGGGAGGAAGTTAGACCTTTGGATGACCAAGGAGTCAAAGGCTGGATCTAGACATGTCAAAGAAGCGATTCATTTAAACACGTTGTAAACTCATACAGGGAAATCTGATGGGGAAAGACAGGACTCCACAGTGCCATCTGGTATCACAGTGTTATATCATATATACAATGCATATAAAATGCTTTTTCTTTACCAATCCAGCCCAGTCCAAATGAGAAAGTGGTGATAGTAGAGTAACTGAATTATTTGTGCCTGTCCCCACAGCAAAACATGTAGGGCAGATCCCTGCACTTGAACTAACTTTTTCAAGCAGAGAGTCTGAGAAACTGAGGCAAATAGTTGTGACAAGAGATTAAGTTCTAGTCCTTATTGACAAAAACTGACCAAATCACCAAGTCTAGGTGGCACCCACCCAAAAGTTCTAAAGGAACTCAAATGTGAAATTGCTGATCTTCTAAATACACACACAGACACACACACACACACCCTAAGGTGGACCCCAGGACTGAAAAGTGTTTAGTGCAACACCATTAAAAAATAATAATAATCCAGGGGTGATCTAGAAATCTCAGGCTGCTTAGCTGATGTCTGTTTTGGTAAAATTGGTGGGCCCTGACATCTAAAATCCTGATTTATAATAGCTATATTCATAATACTGACTGTGCCAGCAGAAGGCACCATCTAAGATACACTTTCTAAAGTGAGCTTTCCCTCTTTCAGAGAAGTGAAATCAGGCCATGGGAGGGAAATCAAAATATTTCCAGATTATTTAAAGACGCACAAGATAATGTGAGTGTAAACAAAAGCTTAATGTTTGCTGCTGCTGTGAATCAGAACAAACAAAAACAGCCTTACCTGAGAATCTGTAGCATGAAAACAAACACTTGGATGTCTGACAAGATTTCGAAACAGACTCAAGAAATAAAGCTTAGCTAAAGGGCTGGCAGCCTTTCCTTACTTCGACTGCAGAATCTGAAGTGTATTCCAAGAAAGTTCCTTCCTCCAGTGTGAGGTGTTTCCCCATTCACACGTCATGCATTTTGACTTAGGTGGAATAATGTGCTCATACAGGACTTGCCGATCAGAAGGTCAGCAGTTCGAATCCCTGCGATGGGGTGAGCCCCCGTTGCTCGGTCCCTGCTCCTGCCAACCTAGCAGTTCAAAAGCACGTCAAGCAAGGTGCAAGTAGATAAATAGGTACCGCTCCGGTGGGAAGGTAAACGGCGTTTCCATGCGCTGCTCTGGTTTGCCAGAAGCAGCTTAGTCATGCTGGCCACATGACCCGGAAGCTATACGCCGGCTCCTTTGGCCAATAAAGCAAGATGAGCGCCGCAACCCCAGAGTCGGTCACGACTGGACCTAATGGTCAGGTGTCCCTTTACCTTTTTACATTACATAGGAAATGCAGACAGCACGGGCACCAGCGCCTGGCATCCTTGCCAGGCCCTCATTGTCTGTGGGGCTCGCAACTAACACATGCACCTGGTCGTCTTCCTTCACTTTTCATACCAGTGCTGTGAGCAAGCACTGGCACTTGCCTACGTGTTATTTAAATTTCCCACAATGCTCCTGACATTGTGTCACCCTGGTGCATTGTGGGAAATTAAAATGGTTCTTCCGTAGCCACATTGTTGCTACCAATGGTCCCTGTTGCCATGTAAGCCTTCCTGGACTCATCAGAAAAGAGGAGACACCAGAGTGAACTTTGTCCAGAGCCCCCTGAACTCTGGATAGTCTGGTATTTCCTTAACAATATAAGAAATGTGATTGAAAGGACCAAGAGATCGGAGAAATCTGCCTTGGGATCTACGAGCAGTTACTCAGGAGGGGAAATACAATCATTTGGGCTCCCCTGGAGCACACGCACATGGTTTGCCTCCTCCTGGAAGACAGAAAAGTCTTCATTACAGTCTTGGTTCTTAAAACTTGTTTTAATTTGTTGGAAGCTGCCCAGAGTGGCTGGGGCAACCCAGTCAGATGGGCAACATATAAATTATTGCTGCTGCTGCTTTGCCGGTGAGTCTTGGGGAGGACCGCTCCCCCTGCAAGCCCATTCTCCACCTTGGGCCTGGGGGCGGGCCCCATACTCCACCTCAGCATATAAGGCTCCAAGGAGGCCTCGGGAAATTGCTGCTGCCGCTTCGCCGTGAGTTTGTGGGGAGGACCGCTCCCCCTGCAAGCCCACTCCACCAGGCCAGTGGGCGGGGCCCACATTCACCACCGCCACAACTTTAAGGACACTGGTGCTGCTGCAGCAAATGTTAAAAATGTTTTTAGATATTTTAAAGTGTTTCAAAAGTGTTTTTACTTTTTACTTTGTTGTACCACCATAAGCAGTGGTTTTTATTCATGTATTTTTATTTTGTTTTGTTTTATTTTGGGTTGGGGTGGGATGGTTGTTGAGTGGGGTGGGGATTGGTTTTGTTTTGGTGTAATTGTTTTTTGTTTGTTTGTTTTGCTTTTATATTTTGTAAATGGAGGCGAGTATGAGGCTTGGGATTCCTACCGTGGAGGGGCGAGGGAGGTATGGCGGTGGGGGCAGATGTCATAGGTGAAGGGGATCGAGATACGGATATGCTCGTACCCCTTCCAATCTGCGCCCCATCCCAAGAGACGAGGGTAGGGTGAGCAAGGATTACTCACCTCCGTCACTGGTGTTGTGCAATGCCAGGAATATAGGCAACAAAACCGCCACCCTGCGAGATTTCTTCACCTCGCAGGGGGTCGACCTGGCTTGTGTGACGGAGACCTGGGTGCGCGAAGGGGAAACTGTCACCTTGCGAGAGATGGCGCCCCCGGGTTTCTCCGTCCTCCACCAGTCGCGGACTGTGGGCCGGGGGGGGAGGGGTGGCATTATTAATCTGGGAAGATTGTTCTTTCAGGGCTCTACCATCACCATCGATCCCCGGCATTGAATGTGTTGGCCTAGTGTGGGGCTCCGAGGTGAGCTTGGCTGTCTGGCTGGTGTACCGGCCACCTAGCGCACCAGCAGCCACCCTGTCAGGCCTGCTGGAGGCGGTGGCCAGCTGGGCCTTGGAGTTCCCTAACCTATTGGTATTGGGGGACTTCAACATCAATGCTGATGCCACTCCCTCCTCACAGGCTCTGGACCTGGTGTCTTCCATGGCGACACTAGGGCTCTCCCAGTTTGTTTCGGGCCCCACACATCAAGCAGGCCACACGCTGGATTTGATCTTTGGCGTTGGTATAGATGTGATCATGTTTCCTTCGATGAAGGTGCCATAGTCTGATCACTACGCTCTGAAAGCCAGGATTGACGTTCCACCCCCACCCTGTTTAGGTGGCGAGCCGATTTGGGCTCGCCCGCAGAGGCTGATGGACCCTGATAGATTCCGTCAAGCCTTGCGGGACCTTTCTCCCCCTGGCAACTCATTGACTGAGCTTGTTGAGGGCTGGAATACCCAGCTCCTGGCAGCCATCAATGAGATCGCACCTAAGCGCCCTCTGCGACCCCGCAGAAACCGGGCTCCCTGGTTTACCGAGGAGCTCCAGAAAATGAAGCGGGACCTCAGACGGCTAGAGCGAGCATGGCGGGGTGCCCGTGACGGAGCTTCAAGAACATCTTATAGGGTTTTTATGAAAACCTACGAGATGGCAGTGAAGGCCGCTAAGAAGTCTTACTTCTGGTCGGGGACAGAGGGTGGCGCTTGGGGAGGAATTGTCATCGTGCCACTCCTTGGTGTGTGGAGTGCCCCAGAGTGCGATACTCTCCCCGATGCTTTTTAACATCTTTATGCGCCCCTTCGCCCAGCTTGTCCAGAGTTTTGGGCTGGGCTGCCATCAGTATGCTGATGACACCCAACTCTATCTGTTGATGGATGGCCATCCTGACTCGGCCCAAGACACACTGACCAGATGTTTGGAAGCTGTGGCTGGATGGTTACGTGGGAGCCGGTTGAAGTTACCGTATTTTTCGCTCTATAAGACGCACCAGACCACAAGACGCACCTAGTTTTTGGAGGAGGAAAACAAGAAAAAAAATATTCTGAATCTCAGAAGCCAGAACAGCAAGAGGGATCGCTGTGCAGTGAAAACAGCAATGCCTCTTGCTGTTCTGGCTTCTGGGATAGCTGCGCAGCCTGCATTTGCTCCATAAGACGCACATACATTTCCCCTTACTTTTTAGGAGGGAAAAAGTGAGTCTTATAGAGCAAAAAATACGGTAAATCCTTCGAAGACAGAGGTCCTCTGGCTGGGACAGAACGATATGGGATTGAGGGGGCAACTCCCATCTCTTGCAGGGGTGCAATTAGTGCCAGCACCATCCGTTAAGAGTTTGGGTGTAATCTTCGATACCTCCCTCTCCATGGAGGCGCAGATTGCAGCTATAACAAAGGCGGCATTTTTTCATCTCCGCCAAGCTAAGCAGTTGGCTCCTTACCTCTCTCGCCCTGACCTAGCCACTGTGATCCACGCGACGGTCACCTCCAGACTGGATTATTGTAACTCACTCTATGTGGGGCTGCCCTTGAGACTGACCCAGAAACTCCAGCGGGTGCAGAATGCCACGGCGAGACTCCTTACGGGGTCTTCGCTGCGAGATCACATTCATCCGGTGCTATACCAGCTGCACTGGCTCCCGGTGGAGTACAGGATCACGTTTAAGGTGCTGGTTTTAACCTTCAAAGCCCTATACGGCCTAGGACCCTCGTACCTACGGGACCGCCTCTCCTGGTATGCCCCACAGAGGAACTTACTGTCTTCAAATAAAAACATCTTGAAGGTCCCAGGCCACAGAGAGGTTAGGCTGGCCTCAACTACAGCCAGGGCTTTTTCGGCTGTGGCTCCAACCTGGTGGAACGCTCTGTCACAAGAGACAAGGGCCCTGCAGGACTTGACATCTTTCTGCAGGGTCTGCAAGACAGAGCTGTTCCACCAGGCCTTTGGTCAGGGCGCAGCCTGACTCCCTCCTCTGGCAATCTTTACAGAACTTTAGTATGGTTGCCATCAATTTTGATTTTAATTAATTTTTATAATGTTTTTAGAATGTTGCACTATTTTAGTGTTTTTAGCCGCCCTGAGCCTGGCTTCGGCTGGGGAGGGCAGGATATAAATAAAAATTATTATTATTAATTATTATTATTATTATTATTATTATTATTACATGAAAAGAGCAGGAATGAAGATGATGAGCTGACCCTAGCTTACAATTCAAAACACAGGTTAGGCACTGAGGCAAAACCTTTGGGTTCAGCCTATCTTTCTACACAATGCACCCCCACACACAAAAAATGGCCTCTACAGACACACACACACACAGCATCCTGTAATATTTCCAGCTTCTCAAGCTATCACATTATGTTATCCGGGAAGTTAAAGACACTAATCTGCCTCACCTTTTCCAGACGCTCCAAGTGTCCCTATTTTACAGAGACAGTCCCAGATTTATAGAAGCCACCCCGGTTCCTGGTTTGATCCCAAAATGTCCCACTTTTCCTTAGGATGTGCCTGTTATCATCGGAGAAATATGGGAGAGCATGGAGTGATGCGACGCCCCAAGCCGAGGAGATAAGTAACTGTACAACTTTTAGAAGACATTTGAACAGTGCTTTTTCTTCCTTGGGGGATGCAAAACCCTGAACATTTTGTGAATCTAAGTTTGGCCTCATTGAAGGGCAGTATTTCAATATAAGTAGGAAAATGAGAGTACCCCAAACATTTTTTTAGGAAAAAAAAAAGCACTGCGTTTGAGGGCAGCCCTGTACAGGGAAGTGGTTTTTTTTAATGCTTAATGTTTTTTATATAGGTTGGAATTGCCCAGAGTGGATGGGCTAGCCCAGACAGATGGGTGACATATAAATAATAAAATTATTGTTGTTATTATTATGAACAAGGACGTCCCTGTTTTCATCGGAGAAATGTTGGAGCATATGGTTTCCTAAAGTGCTATGCTCCCTCATGCTACAATCTAGACAAAGCAATATGTATGTCAGGAATCAATGCTACTGAGATGATGGGGAAGTATATCTAAAGAGACCCAAAATAGATTTTAGCGGGGATGTGCATAGAAAGCTGCTTTATACTGGGTCAGAATATTTGTTCACCCAGTCCTGTCTGGCAGTAATACACCAGGATCTCTGGCTGACAGCTTTCACATCACCTGCTACCTGCTCACCTTTTTAAAAAAGCAGAAATACCAAGGGTTTAACCCACAACCTTCAGCATGGAGAGCAGGTGTTCTGACACGGAACTACCAGATCCAACTCGGCAGGTCTTGTCTAGGATTTGAACCCAGGAATTCTTGCAAGAAACATACCCCTAGAGCAAACCATTCCTTCTTTGTCTTTGGAGGTTCTTTCCAAAAAAAAAAAGTATCAGTTCAAGATGAAGTAATTCTAGTGGCTACATTATGCGATAGTGCCCTAGAAAAGAGAATTTTGTTTTTCCCAGATTGTTTCAGATATCTGATCTTTGCTGATTCCATGAAAGGATTTCAATCTCTAAGCGTAAGAGGCTAGTAACAGATGCAGTTTGTTTGAGGTGCTCCATTCAATTTGGTTCCGAAAGTCACAGTTGCTCACATAAGTACTCCAATGACCAAAAGTAAACTTATGACGATGGTTATATTGAAACGTATTTCCCCTAGTCTCTTGGAGACTGAGGCCGAATAGGGGGTGGAGTGGACTTCTGGGATCATTTTCTTCAATGGGTTTGCTTGTGTTTGTGTGCATGTATAGATTGTGTCTTTATTTCCTCATCTTATTTTTATTCTGTGATGTTATTGTTGTACTTTTATCGAAGATATTGCCTCCCGTCCTGAGATACTTAGGTTAGGAGTGGGATATAAACATTTTAAAATAATTTTACATTAAAATATAAATATTTTTCAACAACATACGCACAGAGAGAGAGAAGGCTATGACTGGGAGTAAGAATGAAGAGAGGTTGCTCAACCTCCCTCCTACTGTTGATAAATCATCAAGTTGCTTTCATACCTAAAGAAAAAAATGTATGGGGGAACATTATCTTTTCTTCCCTATGGAGAGAGATATTTAAACAATCCTTTGAAATGGAGCCATTTAGTGCATGTTCTTCAAATTTGATTTGATTTGTTAACATCATTGAGCAAGTAACTAGTTAGAAATATGTATTTTTTCTTTTAATGAACAGAATCCTATTCCATCAGCTAGAAATTTCCATGGTAATACATCTCCTTTTGAGGCTTGAGATCTGTGACTTGTTTTTCTTTCCTAATGAGAGGAATAGTGGGGAGACCATCTGACTTATCGATTAAGCTACTATAAGGCATATGTTGGTTCTTTTCCTGCTGCTGAGACAATGGCCTTGGCGTTAGAAGAGCAAAATGAGCTCAGTGAGAGTTCGAACTAACCCAGCAGAAGTCTTTTGGGGCACTTGGAGAACTGGGTGTGGTGCTTTTTGCCTTCTCAATCTCTGTTTTAAATGTACACAAAAAAATTCAAAAAAGGTATGTGGACAAGGGAGAAGGTCTTTGAGGGGTGAAACCATCACAGCACATGACAGGACACTAGGGGTGGGGGTGGTGGCAGCGGGAGAGGAACAAAAGACTTGTCATAAAGGCATTATTTAATCAGTCTCTTCTAGAATGCCAGGCTTCATTTGCACACCATGACCTCCCTAATCAAAAGCCATCCAATTAAAGCAGTGAGAGGGCAATGAACCTATGCAAGAAATTCATAGGTCTCCTCTGTGGATTGTTCATTAGTCGTTCCCAAGTGCCCATTACGGGCTTTACCCATGAAAATGCACCTTGAGAATAAAAGATCTACATCAACAGCACATACACACCCGCCAGGTGAATGGTATTCACTTTTAAAATCAACCCC